ATATTTTTAAAAGTTTGTAATTTACCTGACCAACAAGTATTAAATGTGTTAAATCTTTTTACAAATATAACCTATCCTTAAAAAATTAATAAAGTAGAAATAATTTCTATATATTTACAAAAAAAGGCTTGTAAATTTGTCAATGCTAGTTTTTATAAATCTAGTAATACTATTAAAATATTAGAATTAAAAACCAAAAATTTAAAAAATAAAATTAAAGATTTAAAAAAAAATAAGTTTGCTACTAATGCTCTACTTTGCTCATTTTTAATAAAAGTTGCAAAAGCAAAAAAATCAAAACAAAAACAAATCTTAAAAATTTAATTTACTATTTGTAAAGCAAACCAAATTCGACCTGCTCAATTTTAACATGTAGTAAACAAATTATTTAAAATTAATAATAAAGAATATAATGCTAAATTTGTTAAATTAGCTGCAGATATAAGTAAGGCTACACAAACTTATATAATAGGTTCTCATATCCCGGCCGTGATAGTAAGTTCAGATTGCAAATTTTTATTTTTTTAATATACTGACGAATAAGAATCGGTTATTTAAATCACGTGACAAATCAGATTTTGGTTCAACAGATCGAAAAGGCAGTCGAAGTAGTGATGACGTTGATCACAAATTAAATCACGTTCGATTTTGGTTTGTATTACTAATATAATCTTTTTCTCTTTTTTATTTAGTATGAAAATATGAAATACGTTATTCATGGGAACAAGAGTTAACAATAAACGACTTTAACAGTTCAAGAGAAACTAGTTAGAGACAAATACTTCTATTACCGATTTCAGAAGCTTTGAACTCCAGGAGTTGGATTTTATTTCAGTACGAAAGGCGTCGCTTTTATACTTTTTACATTACTACATTACAAGTTGAACTATTTGATAAAGCTATTAAGGGTATTAAAGCTAATAAGGATACTAAGGCTACTAAGGATAATAAGGCTAATAAGGATACTAAGGGCTAAGAGAGATAAGTCTTTCGTGACTTAATAGTTACGGTAAAGATTTGCCTTCAACATATCGTGTTTGGATTTTACTAATTTCTTGTATAGTGCTAACTATATATGAATCTTCTACAAAAAGGAAAACCGAAATAACGAAAATAGAAATAACAAAAAAAAAATAATAATAATAATTGGCCAGGGCCTTTCACAACGATCACAGAACCGCCAACAAAATTTTCTAAAAAAAAATTTAAAACAAATGTTCGTTTTGTCAAAAATCGTCTATAACTTAAAATCTGCATAGGAAACCACCTCCTGCGCATTAAAAATGTCTTTTTTGAATGATTTTATTGTTAGAACTCCTAACTCTAATACTAAGGCTCTAACATGAACTTAAAAAAAACTTTGTTGGATATCACGTGATGGTAAAATTTTGGAAGATTGCAGTTCATTTTAAATATCAAAAACTATCGATATTTATTTTATCTTTATTTATAAAAATGCTATATATTTAGAATTTTAACTACGCTTTCGCTTATTTTTACTACTTTTACTCTGTCTTGAATTCTTTTTTAAATTAGAACTACCAGAATTACCACCGCAGTCATTACAATACGGGTATTCATTTTTTGCCAGTTTAGAAACCTCTTGGCTTCCACATTCAAAGCAAATATTTGGGTAGATCTCAGCAGAGTAGTATGGTTTTTCAATTTTTGACGCACAACACAATGAATCATTAACAAAAACCCTTGAAAAAAGCTTACTAATAGATTTCTCCTCTGCGTTATCATCAAGCTCTTCTATGGTTATATTAAGATCATCATCATCTGGACTCTCAGGTTCAGATTCATTATTTTCGTCTTCTTGGGTTGCATTTTCTTAATTGTCAGCTTCATTATTGGAACCAACATTTTCTGAATCGTTATTTACACCTGATTGCTCCGGTGATACAGTCAATGCCAAATCACATGTCCTATAAAATGACATGCCACAAGTATAGAAGATTGTATCTAGGAATTTTTGCAATAATGTGACATCCTTTTCAGAAAGTTTTTTTGCACTGAATAAAAGACGTGGCTTTTCACATTCAGTGCAATTTACAATAACACGAACATTTTTTGCACGTGCCGCAGAAGAACAAAATGGCATGGTATGTTTTGTATTTGTTTTACCATAATCCGTTTTTGTCTTGAGATTTATAAAAGAAGGTCTATGATTCTCTGTTGTTCACATTCTATACAATTCTTCAAATAACTTGTAATGTAAATCGTCTCCCGGTATTGGATCTGGAAGACAATGAAGTTGGTCAAATTCTTCTGGCAAACAATGAGGGGGATGACAAATTTCACAAGATGATTCACCACATTTCTTGATTAAAAAGAAATAATGCCTTGCTGTACAACAATGGTCAAAAAATTCTTGTAGACGTGGCTTTAAATAAAAGTATGTTATTATCGTTTTTTTTTTTATAATGTTATTATTTATTATGATTATACAAATATTATTTACTCTTTTTTTTATATCTGCTGCAATACGATCGTCAGAAGTAACACTATTATTAATAAGTAAAATTGTGTTCCAGAATCTTTCCATTTCTATTTCTGATGCAGCATCGAATGTTTGGAATGGTTCTTCTTTTAGAGACTGACGGCTAAACACATTGCTAATTAAACGAATCGGTGCTTGAAGGCTTTCAATAAGATTATCCTTCAAACCAGGATTTTCCTCAGCAATTTTGCGGATTTCATTCATTGTACCAGCTTTACTAATTAATTTTTCTGATTCATCATCCATTTTAGTTCGCATTAATCCAACACTCTGCAACCCTAAGTTCAGAATCGACATGATACGTTCAACTGGATTTTTCCACGAATGTTGTGGTAGAGTTCGAACAGCAACAAAGTAGTCAAGGTCCAAAGCGAGAAAAAGACAAATATAGGAGAGCTGGACCCTGGTAAAAGTGCAACGATAGTCTGAACCACCATCTGTATAGAGACACAGAATAGGATTATCAAATAAATCTTCCGTAAGAAGTATATCGGATAATTCTGTGGTATGACGAAGAGGTGAAGAAGGTTGGAAAATTGGGTCTTTTAATCCAATATGTACTTTTCCTGCGTAAAAATCACTATTTATTGATTCAGGTATATTATATATCATCACTATACTTAGTATAATTCCTGTTTTAGTATAATCATGATCAGCTACTTCAAATGTTGTATTTCTAGAGACTACGACTTTCTTTTCTCTCTCAACTGCAGCAACAGGAAACTCAGGCTCTCCAACTTTACAGCGATGTTTATCATCTAAGAAGATGAAATTTGTAATTTTACGAAATTTCACGGCAAACTCTTTCTCATAACGAAATAATGCCGATGCATAGTGTGCATCTGGATAGGTTATATTTGTAAAAAGATTTAACACATTTAATACTTGTTGGTCAGGTAAATTACAAACTTTTAAAAATAT